TCCTGCACATAGTATATGAGAGGGGTGTAGAGAAGGGGGGTCACTGTGGTATGAGGGGCGATGGTCCTGCACATAGTATATGAGAGGGGTGTAGAGAAGGGGGGTCACTGTGGTATGAGGGGCGATGGTCCTGCACATAGTATATGAGAGGGGTGTAGAGAAGGGGGGTCACTGTGGTATGAGGGGCGATGGTCCTGCACATAGTATATGAGAGGGGTGTAGAGAAGGGGGGTCACTGTGGTATGAGGGGCGATGGTCCTGCACATAGTATATGAGAGGGGTGTAGAGAAGGGGGGTCACTGTGGTATGAGGGGCGATGGTCCTGCACATAGTATATGAGAGGGGTGTAGAGAAGGGGGGTCACTGTGGTATGAGGGGCGATGGTCCTGCACATAGTATATGAGAGGGGTGTAGAGAAGGGGGGTCACTGTGGTATGAGGGGCGATGGTCCTGCACATAGTATATGAGAGGGGTGTAGAGAAGGGGGGTCACTGTGGTATGAGGGGCGATGGTCCTGCACATAGTATATGAGAGGGGTGTAGAGAAGGGGGGTCACTGTGGTATGAGGGGCGATGGTCCTGCACATAGTATATGAGAGGGGTGTAGAGAAGGGGGGTCACTGTGGTATGAGGGGCGATGGTCCTGCACATAGTATATGAGAGGGGTGTAGAGAAGGGGGGTCACTGTGGTATGAGGGGCGATGGTCCTGCACATAGTATATGAGAGGGGTGTAGAGAAGGGGGGTCACTGTGGTATGAGGGGCGATGGTCCTGCACATAGTATATGAGAGGGGTGTAGAGAAGGGGGGTCACTGTGGTATGAGGGGCGATGGTCCTGCACATAGTATATGAGAGGGGTGTAGAGAAGGGGGGTCACTGTGGTATGAGGGGCGATGGTCCTGCACATAGTATATGAGAGGGGTGTAGAGAAGGGGGGTCACTGTGGTATGAGGGGCGATGGTCCTGCACATAGTATATGAGAGGGGTGTAGAGAAGGGGGGTCACTGTGGTATGAGGGGCGATGGTCCTGCACATAGTATATGAGAGGGGTGTAGAGAAGGGGGGTCACTGTGGTATGAGGGGCGATGGTCCTGCACATAGTATATGAGAGGGGTGTAGAGAAGGGGGGTCACTGTGGTATGAGGGGCGATGGTCCTGCACATAGTATATGAGAGGGGTGTAGAGAAGGGGGGTCACTGTGGTATGAGGGGCGATGGTCCTGCACATAGTATATGAGAGGGGTGTAGAGAAGGGGGGTCACTGTGGTATGAGGGGCGATGGTCCTGCACATAGTATATGAGAGGGGTGTAGAGAAGGGGGGTCACTGTGGTATGAGGGGCGATGGTCCTGCACATAGTATATGAGAGGGGTGTAGAGAAGGGGGGTCACTGTGGTATGAGGGGCGATGGTCCTGCACATAGTATATGAGAGGGGTGTAGAGAAGGGGGGTCACTGTGGTATGAGGGGCGATGGTCCTGCACATAGTATATGAGAGGGGTGTAGAGAAGGGGGGTCACTGTGGTATGAGGGGCGATGGTCCTGCACATAGTATATGAGAGGGGTGTAGAGAAGGGGGGTCACTGTGGTATGAGGGGCGATGGTCCTGCACATAGTATATGAGAGGGGTGTAGAGAAGGGGGGTCACTGTGGTATGAGGGGCGATGGTCCTGCACATAGTATATGAGAGGGGTGTAGAGAAGGGGGGTCACTGTGGTATGAGGGGCGATGGTCCTGCACATAGTATATGAGAGGGGTGTAGAGAAGGGGGGTCACTGTGGTATGAGGGGCGATGGTCCTGCACATAGTATATGAGAGGGGTGTAGAGAAGGGGGGTCACTGTGGTATGAGGGGCGATGGTCCTGCACATAGTATATGAGAGGGGTGTAGAGAAGGGGGGTCACTGTGGTATGAGGGGCGATGGTCCTGCACATAGTATATGAGAGGGGTGTAGAGAAGGGGGGTCACTGTGGTATGAGGGGCGATGGTCCTGCACATAGTATATGAGAGGGGTGTAGAGAAGGGGGGTCACTGTGGTATGAGGGGCGATGGTCCTGCACATAGTATATGAGAGGGGTGTAGAGAAGGGGGGTCACTGTGGTATGAGGGGCGATGGTCCTGCACATAGTATATGAGAGGGGTGTAGAGAAGGGGGGTCACTGTGGTATGAGGGGCGATGGTCCTGCACATAGTATATGAGAGGGGTGTAGAGAAGGGGGGTCACTGTGGTATGAGGGGCGATGGTCCTGCACATAGTATATGAGAGGGGTGTAGAGAAGGGGGGTCACTGTGGTATGAGGGGCGATGGTCCTGCACATAGTATATGAGAGGGGTGTAGAGAAGGGGGGTCACTGTGGTATGAGGGGCGATGGTCCTGCACATAGTATATGAGAGGGGTGTAGAGAAGGGGGGTCACTGTGGTATGAGGGGCGATGGTCCTGCACATAGTATATGAGAGGGGTGTAGAGAAGGGGGGTCACTGTGGTATGAGGGGCGATGGTCCTGCACATAGTATATGAGAGGGGTGTAGAGAAGGGGGGTCACTGTGGTATGAGGGGCGATGGTCCTGCACATAGTATATGAGAGGGGTGTAGAGAAGGGGGGTCACTGTGGTATGAGGGGCGATGGTCCTGCACATAGTATATGAGAGGGGTGTAGAGAAGGGGGGTCACTGTGGTATGAGGGGCGATGGTCCTGCACATAGTATATGAGAGGGGTGTAGAGAAGGGGGGTCACTGTGGTATGAGGGGCGATGGTCCTGCACATAGTATATGAGAGGGGTGTAGAGAAGGGGGGTCACTGTGGTATGAGGGGCGATGGTCCTGCACATAGTATATGAGAGGGGTGTAGAGAAGGGGGGTCACTGTGGTATGAGGGGCGATGGTCCTGCACATAGTATATGAGAGGGGTGTAGAGAAGGGGGGTCACTGTGGTATGAGGGGCGATGGTCCTGCACATAGTATATGAGAGGGGTGTAGAGAAGGGGGGTCACTGTGGTATGAGGGGCGATGGTCCTGCACATAGTATATGAGAGGGGTGTAGAGAAGGGGGGTCACTGTGGTATGAGGGGCGATGGTCCTGCACATAGTATATGAGAGGGGTGTAGAGAAGGGGGGTCACTGTGGTATGAGGGGCGATGGTCCTGCACATAGTATATGAGAGGGGTGTAGAGAAGGGGGGTCACTGTGGTATGAGGGGCGATGGTCCTGCACATAGTATATGAGAGGGGTGTAGAGAAGGGGGGTCACTGTGGTATGAGGGGCGATGGTCCTGCACATAGTATATGAGAGGGGTGTAGAGAAGGGGGGTCACTGTGGTATGAGGGGCGATGGTCCTGCACATAGTATATGAGAGGGGTGTAGAGAAGGGGGGTCACTGTGGTATGAGGGGCGATGGTCCTGCACATAGTATATGAGAGGGGTGTAGAGAAGGGGGGTCACTGTGGTATGAGGGGCGATGGTCCTGCACATAGTATATGAGAGGGGTGTAGAGAAGGGGGGTCACTGTGGTATGAGGGGCGATGGTCCTGCACATAGTATATGAGAGGGGTGTAGAGAAGGGGGGTCACTGTGGTATGAGGGGCGATGGTCCTGCACATAGTATATGAGAGGGGTGTAGAGAAGGGGGGTCACTGTGGTATGAGGGGCGATGGTCCTGCACATAGTATATGAGAGGGGTGTAGAGAAGGGGGGTCACTGTGGTATGAGGGGCGATGGTCCTGCACATAGTATATGAGAGGGGTGTAGAGAAGGGGGGTCACTGTGGTATGAGGGGCGATGGTCCTGCACATAGTATATGAGAGGGGTGTAGAGAAGGGGGGTCACTGTGGTATGAGGGGCGATGGTCCTGCACATAGTATATGAGAGGGGTGTAGAGAAGGGGGGTCACTGTGGTATGAGGGGCGATGGTCCTGCACATAGTATATGAGAGGGGTGTAGAGAAGGGGGGTCACTGTGGTATGAGGGGCGATGGTCCTGCACATAGTATATGAGAGGGGTGTAGAGAAGGGGGGTCACTGTGGTATGAGGGGCGATGGTCCTGCACATAGTATATGAGAGGGGTGTAGAGAAGGGGGGTCACTGTGGTATGAGGGGCGATGGTCCTGCACATAGTATATGAGAGGGGTGTAGAGAAGGGGGGTCACTGTGGTATGAGGGGCGATGGTCCTGCACATAGTATATGAGAGGGGTGTAGAGAAGGGGGGTCACTGTGGTATGAGGGGCGATGGTCCTGCACATAGTATATGAGAGGGGTGTAGAGAAGGGGGGTCACTGTGGTATGAGGGGCGATGGTCCTGCACATAGTATATGAGAGGGGTGTAGAGAAGGGGGGTCACTGTGGTATGAGGGGCGATGGTCCTGCACATAGTATATGAGAGGGGTGTAGAGAAGGGGGGTCACTGTGGTATGAGGGGCGATGGTCCTGCACATAGTATATGAGAGGGGTGTAGAGAAGGGGGGTCACTGTGGTATGAGGGGGGATGGTCCTGCACATAGTATATGAGAGGGGTGTAGAGAAGGGGGGTCACTGTGGTATGAGGGGCGATGGTCCTGCACATAGTATATGAGAGGGGTGTAGAGAAGGGGGGTCACTGGGGTATGAGGGGGGATGGTCCTGCACATAGTATATGAGAGGGGTGTAGAGAAGGGGGGTCACTGTGGTATGAGGGGGGATGGTCCTGCACATAGTATATGAGAGGGGTGTAGAGAAGGGGGGTCACTGGGGTATGAGGGGGGATGGTCCTGCACATAGTATATGAGAGGGGTGTAGAGAAGGGGGGTCACTGGGGTATGAGGGGCGATGGTCCTGCACATAGTATATGAGAGGGGTGTAGAGAAGGGGGGGTCACTGTGGTATGAGGGGGGATGGTCCTGCACATAGTATATGAGATGGGTGTAGAGAAGGGGGGGTCACTGTGGTATGAGGGGCGATGGTCCTGCACATAGTATATGAGGGGGATGTAGAGAAGGGGGGTCACTGTGGTATGAGGGGCGATGGTCTCACCTCCTTCGCAGTTGATGATGATGGAAATGGAGGTCTGGCTGACTAGGTTGCTGGCGGTACAGGTCACGTTTGTGGACTGATTGCTCCACCCAAAAATGATCAGCGATTTCCCTTTCAGCGGCACCGTTTTTTTGTTGTCCTGTTTCAGATGTAATTCCAGATCCGATCCCCGAGAGATAAAACAACCCACTTCTGCCTGTTTCTTCCCTTTACACGTGTGGTTCATGAACGGCTGGTCCACCGGATCTGCAACGGGAGAGGAAGTATGTGACATCGACCCCCCTGTACCCCAACATCCTCACCCACCCTCCACTGTGTGGTCTACGGCATCCGCTCCACCCATAACAAGACCCCAACATAGAGCACCCCCTTACAGCACAGAACACTGAGCCACTCACATCAGTGTCTGTACAGAGGAGCTTACACTCTAATGTCCCCTCCCCCCCCACAGTCACATCGGTCTCTGTACAGAGGAGCTTACACTCTAATGTCCCCTCCCCCACAGTCACATCAGTCTCTGTACAGAGGAGCTTACACTCTAATGTCCCCTCCCCCCCACAGTCACATCAGTCTCTGTACAGAGGAGCTTACACTCTAATCCCCTCCCCC